AGCCATATGAGTTGTTTTTAATCTCTTACTTGTTTTTGCATTTACTATACTAAACTATTTGTATATTGTCTACTGCTTCACATGAAAAAAAAACGATTTTCTGGTTAAAAACCATTTGCTGCCATATTCTACAAGTGGTTTAGCACAGCTAAACGAAAAGCAGCATAGCTGAGTTCTGCTAGATTACACTTTTTAATCCCATTTTCATTACCCTCAGAAACTGAGGGAGCATGGCAGAATTAGCAGCACGGCATCCTGCCTCATGTTAATGACATTCTCCCAAATTCAGCTTTAAGCAGTGGATTACATTTGTTTGCATGCTTGTGTGTGGCTTTTAAAGAGGCTCATTAGAGAAGCACTGATGGATGATACCTTAGTGAAATAATTACCATCCCTTTCCAGGGCCCCTTTTAAAAGAGAGAGAAGAGTGGGAAAAAAAACAGGAGGCAGAAGTGGGAGAGTTGTGAGAGTGAGGAATATAAAAATAGGGGCTGGGAGATATGGAGCCAGGCCGTGACAGACAGAAGGAGAGTGATGGCAAAAGACAAACCAAGAGAGGAATTTAAAGAGATTTCACTCATTAAAAAGAGGAGCAAAAGAAGGGGAGATGGCATTAATCAGAGCTCTGTGCTAATGAGGCATTTACTCATTATGCCGAAATAGAGAGAGGCCGAGGAAGAAAAGGAGGAGGTGGGGGAGGACGAACGATGGGCTGCAAAGTAAATTAATAGAAAGAAGACAAGGGGAAATAAAGAGGTTTTGGAGGGAGATGAAAGAGTCAAGAGTGTTTGAGGTGGAGGATTAAACAGATGTGAAGAATGGAAACAAAATGTGGCTTCATGCTGATCAAGAACAGATTTTCTATTGAAGTTTAAATATATCATTAGATTAAATAACAATAAGTGGTAAAATGACTAACCTTAATCCTTTCTTTCATGCTTTTTCTCCCGATAAAAAAAGAACAAGAAAATCTAACTTTGATGTTTCTAGTTTTAGTGTCTCTTGTTCCTTTAAAAAGTATTTTTATTAAGTTAATAGAAATAATGGAATATGACAAAGTACAAGTACTTCATTTCTGCACTAGCTTTCCAATTTTTCTGTATCTATACTTTACTTAAAGCTAGGAATGGGTACAGTAATCTGTACTTTACTTAAAGCTAGGGATGGGTACAGTAATCTGTACTTTACTTAAAGCTAGGGATGGGTACAGTAATCTGTACTTTACTTAAAGCTAGGAATGGGTACAGTAATCTGTACTTTACATAAAGCTAGGAATGGGTACAGTAATCTGTACTTTACTTAAAGCTAGGGGTGGGTACAGTAATCTGCACTTTACTTAAAGCTAGGGATGGGTACCGTAATCTGTACTTTACTTAAAGCTAGGGATGGGTACCGTAATCTGCACTTTACTTAAAGCAAGGGAGGGGTACCGTAATCTGTACTTTACTTAAAGCTAGGGATGGGTACCGTAATCTGTACTTTACTTAAAGCAAGGGAGGGGTACCGTAATCTGTACTTTACTTAAAGCTAGGGATGGGTACCGTAATCTGTACTTTATTTAAAGCTAGGGATGGGTACCGTAATCTGTACTTTACTTAAAGCAAGGGAGGGGTACCGTAATCTGTACTTTATTTAAAGCTAGGGATGGGTACCGTAATCTGTACTTTACTTAAAGCAAGGGATGGGTACCGTAATCTGTACTTTATTTAAAGCTAGGGATGGGTACAGTAATCTGTACTTTACTTAAAGCTAGGAATGGGTACAGTAATCTGTACTTTACTTAACGCTAGGGATGGGTACCGTAATCTGTACTTTATTTAAAGCAAGGGAGGGGTACCGTAATCTGTACTTTACTTAAAGCTAGGGATGGGTACCGTAATCTGTACTTTACTTAAAGCTAGGGATGGGTACAATAATCTGTACTTTACTTAAAGCTAGGGATGGGTACCGTAATCTGTACTTTATTTAAAGCTAGGGATGGGTACAGTAATCTGTACTTTACTTAAAGCTAGGAATGGGTACAGTAATCTGTACTTTACTTAAAGCTAGGGATGGGTACCGTAATCTGTACTTTACTTAAAGCTAGGGATGGGTACTGTAATCTGTACTTTACTTAAAGCTAGGGATGGGTACCGTAATCTGTACTTTACTTAAAGCTAGGGATGGGTACCGTAATCTGTACTTTACTTAAAGCTAGGGATGGGTACCGTAATCTGTACTTTACTTAAAGCTAGGGATGGGTACCGTAATCTGTACTTTACTTAAAGCTAGGAATGGGTACAGTAATCTGTACTTTACTTAACGCTAGGGATGGGTACCGTAATCTGCACTTTACTTAAAGCAAGGGAGGGGTACCGTAATCTGTACTTTACTTAAAGCTAGGGATGGGTACCGTAATCTGTACTTTATTTAAAGCTAGGGATGGGTACCGTAATCTGTACTTTACTTAAAGCAAGGGAGGGGTACCGTAATCTGTACTTTATTTAAAGCTAGGGATGGGTACCGTAATCTGTACTTTACTTAAAGCAAGGGATGGGTACCGTAATCTGTACTTTACTTAAAGCAAGGGATGGGTACCGTAATCTGTACTTTATTTAAAGCTAGGGATGGGTACCGTAATCTGTACTTTACTTAAAGCAAGGGAGGGGTACCGTAATCTGTACTTTACTTAAAGCTAGGGATGGGTACCGTAATCTGTACTTTACATAAAGCTAGGGATGGGTACCGTAATCTGTACTTTACTTAAAGCTAGGGATGGGTACCGTAATCTGTACTTTACTTAAAGCAAGGGAGGGGTACCGTAATCTGTACTTTATTTAAAGCTAGGGATGGGTACAGTAATCTGTACTTTACTTAAAGCTAGGAATGGGTACAGTAATCTGTACTTTACTTAACGCTAGGGATGGGTACCGTAATCTGTACTTTATTTAAAGCAAGGGAGGGGTACCGTAATCTGTACTTTACTTAAAGCTAGGGATGGGTACCGTAATCTGTACTTTACTTAAAGCTAGGGATGGGTACAATAATCTGTACTTTACTTAAAGCTAGGGATGGGTACCGTAATCTGTACTTTATTTAAAGCTAGGGATGGGTACAGTAATCTGTACTTTACTTAAAGCTAGGAATGGGTACAGTAATCTGTACTTTACTTAAAGCTAGGGATGGGTACCGTAATCTGTACTTTACTTAAAGCTAGGGATGGGTACTGTAATCTGTACTTTACTTAAAGCTAGGGATGGGTACCGTAATCTGTACTTTACTTAAAGCTAGGGATGGGTACCGTAATCTGTACTTTACTTAAAGCTAGGGATGGGTACCGTAATCTGTACTTTACTTAAAGCTAGGGATGGGTACCGTAATCTGTACTTTACTTAAAGCTAGGGATGGGTACCGTAATCTGTACTTTACTTAAAGCTAGGGATGGGTACCGTAATCTGTACTTTTCTAAGGTACTGACCAAATCCCTTGGTACTGATTCATGTGGTATGAAACAGTGCCTTGTTTCAGTACCATAGAGTCTGGTACCTTATGTCATCAGTCGTTGTATTCCAGCTGTAAATAGCAGCATGGTAGAAAGAACATGCTCTAAAGTTTTGGTCCACTTCACCAAATGCGATGACTGACTGGAGGATGATGACAACACTGAAAATGTTCTCAGTGGGTTATCATCATCTTAATCTGCTCCAGCAGGTAAATAAACTGTTTAAGTTAATGTTAGCTTGATACAGGGAAACAGGTGGCTAAGGTAACAAGGGGCAGGTGAGTTCAATCAACACTAATAAGGGAGACGAACCATCAGAGACACAACACTATAGGAGCGGCTCCTGACAGTTTCATCATATATAAATAAATACTTATTTTAAAGACTTTCTTCACCATAACAAATGTTTCCAACTCTGAATAAGTCTAGGTACGCTTGGAAAAGCACAAACTCTGTGATTGACATCTGTGCGTAATTAAACGTTATGTTAAAAGTAAACTAGGTCAGGTATGGTGTCAGCAGCACGTATCACACACTGCTGCAAACCCACCCTCTTGGGCCGCCAGACAACACCTCCTTGTGGTGCATTTTTAAACAGGAAATGTGGGTGGTGTAAGACTGGTAGGGGGTGACTTGCTCTTTCAGCAAATTTAACATTTCATTTCTTAGTGTTTAAGTCTGTGTTTGCACAGCTGCCCCTGGAATAATATACGTTTCCCCTTGTTCAATGAATTCCTTAATATGTGCATTATTTAAGCCAATCATAACTGATTCATTGTGTGTCTTTAAGGCTTTTAGAGTTGAACTGAACAAATGAGGTGGTGAGCGAGTGCACTGCTCAGTACCTGCAGGGGAAAATGCTGTAATTTAATAAAATAAATGAGAGGTCAACCTGCTCTTAATACTTGCAACTTGTCGCTCAACAAACGGTGCAGCTAAAAAGTGGTCACTTTAAACGGTAAGTGTTAAATCTGGACCTGTTCTTGGTGTAAAGGAGAGTTGATTGAAGCCAAGTGGTGAATTGATTTGAAGGCATGAAAAAAGCAATGAAAAGCTGAGAAAATTAGACTTGTAAAGTTCTCATGACTTCATGGAAATGGTTTTAGTGTTATAGAAGTAATTAAACCTGAGTCAGAGTGGTCATTTGCTCTCATATCATTAAATCCACAGATTGTTTTATCTTTTCTCTGTAGAAATAAACAAAATCTTGTAGTGCTGTCTAAAACCAAGTACGTTTCTGATCCTTAAGCACCTTTTTTCTTTCTCCTTAAGCTTAAACACCAACATTTTCTCTCTGTTTACCATCTTCTCTTTATGTATTTCATCTGCATGGTTCAGATGTAATCCAAGCAATCCCGCATTGGTGGACTTTTATGTTTCTTTTTAGTTCTGCTCGCCACTTCCTGGTTCTGTGAAAGCTTGTTCGAAACTTGCTGCGACAGTCAGCGTTGTCTGTCCTCTGTCTGGGAGTGTAATTCAACTCACCCTCCATCATCCGTGTGTCTCTCTGCCTCTCCAGGACTCTGACCTTGTCCTGACATTCAACCTGTCCATGCATCGCTCCTGGTGGATGGAGAACGGCCCCGGGTGCAGGGTGACTCCCATCACCCCTCCTCCCTCCTGGGCACCCGAGGACCACCGGTATATATCTATATCTGGCTGTCTGATGGACTTCCAGTTCATAGAGGTGGCTCATTCTTCACTGCAGATACTCCTGGCTGTGAGTATTAACCGCACTGGAGCGTCACACTTAACTACGTGTGTTTGATCGATGTGGATATGTCTGGTTAGCAGAAATACAGCAATTTTAAGAAGTTTGTATTAGTCTCAGCTTTTAAAATTTAATAGATCCACAGGAGCAGAGTTTGGTGAATATGCTAAAGTAGCTATGTCTTTTGACAGCATGGCTTCCGATTGGATGATACAATTTTTTGAAAGCCAGGATGTCAGAGCCCCGCCTGTAACTTAACCTTTGGCCTGACGAGTGTCACATGTAACTTCTCCAGTCTTTTGTGGTAGTGTTGGCATCTAAAAAGCAGTCTAGACAGTGATTAGGTAAATATAGACCTAACTTATCATCTGAATATGTGTGCTATAGGTCACAGCTAACCTATTAGCTTGCTGTGGTCCATGGACATTGATTTTTTAAGGATTTACAAAAAAAATTTTCTGTTGCAACCAGAGATTCTGGTTGAATATTTACCTATAAACCTATTAAACTCAGGATGCTTGATTTAATGACTCTAAATTAGGGGCTGCATGACTTAATTTTTTTTTTAAGTCGACTGTCAAGTAATGAAAATCGAATCGACTTCGACTAGTCGTTCATGACGTCATGCACCTGAAGCGGCTAAAACTGATGATGGGTGACCAAGCGTCTTTTTACGACGCATGGGGGGTTGGGGGGTTGGTTGGTTCGCTGGAGTTTTTAACAATTGAAATTGCGCCCACATTTTCTAAGTTTAACACATCTCTTTTAACAACGGTAGTTTCTGCATCTTGCTTCAGCCCTCTCCCCCTCCCCGTTATCACGTCCCCGGCTCTAGGAGAGATGAGGACAGGGAAGTAATAAAATTTCTGTGTGGGTGAAATGATAACAAAGCGCTGTGTCGCTAAAACAGAGGATTTTATTACAAAAGGAATATTTACAAAAAGGAGTTATATACAAAAGGGGAGAAAGGAAAACGCCACCCCAGAAGGGGGTGGTGATTAAACAACCAAGAATATGAAGAGCTTTCCTGATAAGCAGGAAAGCTCAGGGAGAGCCAAAGTCACTGTCCAAAACCGGTCCGAAGTCAAAGTACCAAAAGGTCTAATCCTAAATCCAAATCCAAATAAGTCAGAACACCACAGATGAATGAGAGCAATACTAAGTTAGAGCACACGAGGAGAAGAGAGCAGCAAAAACTCTTCCGAGCCTTCACTACCCTGGACCTTCTCAAAAACTGTGGGCAGGAGAGCAGCCTTCAACAGCTGCCCATGATTGCCCAATTACATACAACTGAGACAGGTGAGGCAGAAGCCACTGAGGCCATCTTGTGGCCAAAAAGGGGCAGGGCACGTAACACCCTGCTTCAGCCCTCTCCCCCTCCCCCTGCGCAGCGGCCGCAAACTCACTGATGCGCCTGCAGCCTCTCGGAGTTCCTGCTGCTCTAAACATTAAAATAATTATTTCATTTTATGTTCCTCACTTCTGATTACCTTCAGTGGTGTCTGTTTGTTGCAATCAGCAGGTACAAAAACTAACTTGTTTTTATTTGACTATTTTTCTGTCCTGCCTGTTTGTTATCTTCCTGCATCTCCTCTCAATCCTAAAGAAAAACTGCTACCTGGGTTCATATATATTCACCTCATGAGTTACCTTTGAACTGCAGTTCTAAAAGATCTACCGACCGCAAAAACAGCGGAGTGCTCGCCGGCTGCACCTGTGAGGTGCGTCACCGGAGGACAAAACAGGTGATGCGCGCCGCTCCGCAGCAGCGAAACGCATCAGGCACAAATAAAAGACAGAAAACATAAAAGGAAATGAGCCGACATGAACGATTGTGTGTTAAATTAGTTTTTGAGGTGGCGACACCTGATTTGATAACGTTACTGTGGCCGTGCTCAGGACGCAGATGTCTGGAGCGTGTCAGCAATCAGAGTTTTGCATGCGCAAGCTAGTTAAGGTTTGGATGGGGGTGAGGGGAAGCTTAAATTGCAAGAGGGTAAAGGTCACAATTCGGTAAAATGTCCGTTTTACGGCGGATGTCAGTACCGACGCTCTGGCACAGCGCGTCGCCTCCCGACGTTCAGGGGCTCGTCACCTGTTGTCTTTTCCGAGGACTGCATCTTGTCGGTCATTATCACGTGACCGCGACTAGTCTATGAAAGGCATAACAAGTCACTACAGAGCAGTGAAGTCGACTAGTCGACTAGTTGATACAACCCCTACTCTGAATACCGTCTGTTATCTTCAAACATCTTGTGTTTAACTTTGAAAAGAAACTTTTTATAATCTTTGAGGGCCATTCTACTAGCAGTTTGCTCTCTACTCCTAAAAATAACAAATGTTGTTTTCATCCTGCAGACTTTATTTATTGCATAAGGCACACAGGAGGTGCTGAACTATTTCTTAACGTGAACGATCAAATGCATAAAATACCTAATATAATAATTTAGCTGGAAGACACTAGTGCAGTTTATGCATTGGATTTAGTTCACTGACATATTTTCAACGCACTTTTTTAAATTTCAAGATAATTTCACGTGATAAATTCCTTTTTGCTAATAACAAAACATAATATTTATATGATTTTACTCAGTCGCGTATAAAAGGATATTTGACCTTCGATGAAGCTCAGCACGGTCCAGGTCCAGCTTAAACCGAGATCAAGTCCAAAGCTTTTTTTTAATGTAATTATAATTAAACAGACAAGGGGGTTTCAAAAAATGATTCCATGTAAATCTTTACTTCTCAGATGTTTCTTGTTAGTTTTCTTTAAAGACATGGACCTCGGTGCCCCCGAGTCTCGTCTGATCATTTCTAGGAATGTGTTGCTGTAAAATAAAGAGACACATTTCTCTGCTGTGGTGTAGCTGATGATCTACACAGTTACGTTCTCTGGTACTTTAAGTTTACGGCATTCTTAACTGCATTACAGCCACGCAGCTTCGTTTGTCTCCTGTAAATTTGTGGATAATTGTTCTTTTTTGACTAAATAAAAGCACTCGGGCTCCATTGAGTTTATAACTCCATCCTCTTGTTACCATAAAAGCTGCTTCAGATAGTCTCCTTATTCCTATTATTTTTCTAATGTTTAATTGTTGCCTAACCCAATTTTTCTCAATTCAATTCAATTCAATTCAATTCAAGTTTATTTATAAAGCGCCAAATCACGACAAGAGTCGTCTCAAGGCACTTCACATAATAAACATTCCAATTCAGGTCAGTTCATTAAGCCAATCAGAAATAATGTTTCCTATATAAGGAACCCAGCAGGTTGCATCGAGTCACTGACACCCTTCCCAGCATTTCTACCCTTCTGCTCTGTCAAACTGTGGTAATTAGTTGGATCAGAGGACGTATCAGAGAGAGGGAGAGCCTCACACTTTTCATCTCATCCTCACAAACAGCCGGGAGCCGACACCATAAACATTCTTTAATGTGACTGCGTGTGCCATCGCATCAACAGATAGAGGGATTGTTTTTTCTTTCTGCATCTTTATCCCCTCTATGTTCCCTCTCATCACGCGCTTACTGTGTCTCTCTGTCAGTCGATAGTGGTACTTATATTGTGGCTGAGTGCCATGCTAACAAACAGCTTTACTACTGTCTCTCTGTAATTGGTGTGTTGAAACACTGTCATGCTCCCTGAGCACAAAACTCAGCGGTGTGATGGTCCAGCGGCTGACTGGCTGCTCGTTTCAGGTTCAGCACTAAGTGAGGAGTTGTTTTCACCGGGATGCACCAAAAACGGGATAAAGCTGACAGTTTTACGGCTTCCTGATTAGCTACCTGACTTCCTGGTACTTGGCAGGGATATGAAAAAGGTTGTTCGCGATTGCAAGATCTTGTGGACAGAGTGAGGTTAGGGTTAGGGTTTTATTTTGTTTATTTTTTACAGAGCATGGTTTTGTTTGGGCTGGTGGTCTTTAGGGTTTGTGACGGTGTCGGTGCAGGATCGGCTCGGGGTCCTTCGACTGCCGATGATGTCAAAGTAGTTGATTGGCTGAACACGAAGCTTACGGAAGTGACGTCATCACGTCATGATTTTGATTGGTCAGAACAAATTTGCGGTCGTAGTCATAGCGGTTGTAGTCCTGTAGTCCAAAAATCGACACTTTTTGGAGAAAATATGTTTGAATTTCTAAAGGAAATGTAAAATATAAGAAAATAAACGGTGACCCTCAAAAGCTCTTGATGTTGATGAAATGGGGCAAAATAAAATATAAGAACTTTACTGAAAGACACCAAGCAATATTTTGAGTCAAAGAACATATTTAGATAACAACTAAGGAAATATACAGACGAACTCCACATGAATACAAACAAATGTGGCTTCACATATAAGAACTCTTCTATTGTTTGTCAGTCCTATGTTGGTTTTATGCAGTTTCACATTCTTTACAAAAAAAAGATAATATGGTGTTTTATTAACAAATTACAATCATAAAGAAAACATTTAGGTGTTAACAAACAAGAATTTATTAACAAAACTGCTGATGTCTTTCCAAAACGTACGTGTGAAAGCGGAGTAGAGTTGCAATGATGTGACGTCATCGTCAGTCGAAGGACCCCGAGCCGATCCTTTTTTTTTTTTTTTTTTTTTTACCGTGTCCTGTCTGGCTGTGAAGCAAGCAGAACTGATGTCTGAATGCTGGTAACAAGCCTTACAGATTTATTCTCAGGTGGAGCATCAAAGCATCTGCTTTTAATGTCACGCCTGATACTTAAAACTTTATTGTTATTGTTTTTGATTGCTTTGTAATTCCGACCAGACACGGAGACAGAGGTGAAAGAGAAAGGAAAAGAAAAGGTGGGGAGAGAGGGGGGGGGGGGGGGTCCACAAAAATAAACAATGAACAAGAGTCTGCTTCTAGACCTGCAGAAAAAGACAAAAAAAAAGCAAAAGGACGAAAAAAAAAGGGACACAACAACAATAGAACAAGATCAAGCTATCACTGCATCGACTTGATGAAAAAATATATAATCAACATTGCTTAACTGAAGAATCACGA